ATGCTACTTTTAGCTTTTAACTAGAATTATGCTACTTTTAGCTTTTAGCTACAGGACTGCTACTTTTAGCTTTTAGCTAGCATTATGCTACTTTTCGTTTTTAGCTACAGGTCTGCTACTTTTAGCTTTTAACTAGCATTATGCTACTTTTAGTTTTTAGCTACAGGACTGCTACTTTTAGCTTTTAACTAGCCTTATGCTACTTTTAGTTTTCAGCTAACAGGACTGCTACTTTTAGCTTTTAACTAGCCTTATGCTACTTTTAGTTTCCAGCTAACAGGACTGCTACTTTTAGCTTTTAACTAGCTTTATGCTACTTTTAGCTTTTAACTAGCCTTATGCTACTTTTAGTTTTTAGCTACAGGACTGCTACTTTTAGCTTTTAAAAAAAATGGTAAAATGGAGCTTACTTCTATAGCGCCTTCCAGCCCCCTATGAGGGGCCCCAAGGCGCTTTACAGTACCAGCCATCCACCCATTCACACGCACATTCATACACCGGTGGCGGTAGGCTGCCATGCAAGGCGCCATCCAGTCCCACCGGGAGCAACTCGGGGTTAAGTGTCTTGCCCAGGGACACAACGGCACATGGTGTGGGAAGTCGGGATTCGAACCTCCAACCTTCCGATCAGAGGTCGGCTGCCACTACCACTGCACCACGGCCGCCCCCATGGTGTTTTAACTAGCTTTATGCTACTTTTAGCTTTTAACTAGCCTTATGCTACTTTTAGTTTTTAGCTACAGGACTGCTACTTTTAGCTTTTAACTAGCCTTATGCTACTTTTAGTTTTCAACTAACAAGACTGCTACTTTTTAGCTTTTAACTAGCTTTATGCTACTTTTAGCTTTTAACTAGTCTTATCACTTTTGGCTGTTAGTCAGTCTTTTCCTATATTATTATGTTTAGATTTTTAGATATTTTTTATTTCAAGCCAACATTTTACAGCCTTTAGTTTTTACCTTACCTTTAGCAATTTTTAGCTTCCAACTAATGATAGCTACATTTAGCTTTCGACTAGTGTTTTGCTACTTTTAGCTTGAACAAATTTCAGTAAAGTCAGTTCAGCGCTCTTTGTTCTTGCTGTATTTACTTTGTTTTGTGTCACACCAGCAGCTAAACCCAACCTTCTGCGTTAATAAAGCATCTTCTTAGAATAATGTTCCACGAGCAGCTGTTGGTCCACACCACAGACCTGGGATCAGTGATATTTACCCCAACACGTCCTCAGTTTACAACAAAACTCACATAATGCTGAATAAAACAGACAATAAAAATGATTTACAGTTTTGTTTTTACACAAAGGAGAGTTTGGCTGCGTGGACCTTGACTGCAGCTGTTATCAGGCTGTGTAGGTGAGTTACTGAATGACAGCAGCTGAAGGGCAGCCACACAACAATGCTCGTAGAAACGTCTTTTTTTACTCCTGTGAGTCAGAACTCTGTGCTCAGTCTGACTAACGGCACCTGGAGCAAAAGAGTCAACAAATACTTGGTGGTTTGCTGGTCAATTAGAAAGTTTCCACGCTGGGGCTGCCCTTATATGTCCATGTTTTTAATACACATTATGACATAATTAGTAACAGGATGTCTTTGTGTTTCCTGTCTGTGTCAGATTCACATCCTCGTCAGCCGCTGCTCTGCTCATTGTTCTGTCAGCCTGCAGTTTAGTCTCAACAATGTTCGGAGTGTCGGGAATTCTCACTCGCATGGCAACACGTCAGTACAAGCTCTTCTGTCCCTGAATGCAGCGAGGACTTGAAGCTAAACGTTCCCGAAGGCGTTTCATTTCATCCAGCTGACATTCAAGAACGGAGCTCAAATGATGTTTCAGTTGGCTCCTTCTGCTTTACTTGTTGAACGTTAATTGTTTTGGTGAGTTAATAAAAGTCTGAAAAGGTGCTTAAGGTTTTGACAAAAACAGCGAGTTGAGGAAGTTCCTGACTGGGCTGTGACGGTCGGAGACTCTCTGGAGACTTTAAAATGTGAGAAAACGGGTGATTTTTTGTTGTTGTTGCAGTTTCATTGAATTTTGAGTGTTTGCAAACTCAGAGCTGTGCGGTCGTGTTATACGCAGCAAGTTCATGATAATCACAGCTTATTTTTGTGCTGCTTCTAAAATCACACCATGAGTTTTTAGCGACATTAAGCTTCCAGCCAACTCTTAGCGAAATTTAGCCAGCCTTTTGCTCCTTTTAGCTTCTAGCCTTTTGCAACAATTAGCTCCTAGTTAGCTTGTGGCTACATTTAGCTTATATTCAGCCTTTTGCTACATTCAGATTCTAGACAGCCTGTTGCTACATTTGGCTACTAGCTATCTTTTACAAATTTTGGCTACTAGCTGTCTTTTACAACTTTTGGCTACTAGCTGTCTTTTACAACTTTTGGCTACTAGCTATCTTTTACAACTTTTGGCTACTAGCTATCTTTTACAACTTTTGGCTACTAGTTATCTTTTACAACTTTTGGCTACTAGTTATCTTTTACAACTTTAGGCTAGCCTACTCCACATTATGGAGAATTCCTCTTGAAAATCATCAACGGTTGCAGAACAGTGAGATCCCATCTGTGGTTGTACAAATAAAAATCATCAGCCAGAACACAGATGGATCCACTCGTTCGATCATCGATGATCCTGTGAGGAAGAAGATGAGGAAGATGAGGCGTAGTCAGGGGGAACAGGAAGTCTTACCTCTCCAAAAGCTCCTCGTCCAATCACCTTCAGCATCTCAAAGTCGTCTCTGTGCAGCCGCATGTCCTTCACTCTGGAGGTGAAGGGTTTCACTGCAGACACAAACAAAGGGTCAGAAAAACAAGAACAAGACGCTGAACAAATCAGACTGAAGGTGCTGCAGGACCAGGGGCACTAAGACCCTGCAGACTGGCAGCTGCTCACTCATCTTTAATTCATCTGATCAGGGATCAGATTTATCTGGGTCACACACACGAGGAGAACCAGCAACACAGAGCAGCAGCAGCTTCCTTCGTCCAGAGATGCCAGCTGAACCGAACCAGGTGGACCCTCAGGAACCTGCAAGTTTCTGCAGCAGCAGAACTCAAACCAGGTTCTCAGATGCTGATGTGAGTCAGCGTGAGGGGCGGAGCTACGTCAGCCTCATCGTCCAATCAAAGTCAATCAATCAGAGATCAGAAGAAAGTGCCAGAAATGCTGGTTTACTTCTGTCACTGTGCAGGTATGTTGTCAGTTCTACTGAGGTCTGCGTCGCCATGGTAACGTATGACAAACACATACCATACTGTAGAAGTACAGGGCCGCACCCTTCACCAAATCTTTCCCCTCCGGACATCCCAGGTAAAATCAAAGCAGACTGAAAAATCTACACTGAAATTATCTGAAGTCCATTTACTTGACATTTTCTTTCATCTTGATAACTGATCAATAATATTTCTGCTAAGAACGTGTGAATTTCTCACCTGAGGGACAAATAAAGCTTTATTCTACTCATTCTAAATGCTGCCGACAGCACGAGAAAATTAAATGAACCGTCAAATGACTAACCACAGAAGAGGCTTCAGGTTCTGGGACGACCAGATGTCTCCTGGAGGTCGTCTGCTGGACAACCAAGTGGAACAGACAAGACTTCAAGTTCTCTGTCGCCGCAACAGATTTCTGTCATCTTTAAAAATGAAGGGGGGGGGGGGGGGCTGTGTTTTGTTGTGGTCTTGTTAAAGACACCCCATCTAATAATGGTCCAGGGGTTAAAAACTGTTTGTAGGTAGATGACCACCACCACTGGTGTGGGAGCACTTTCAGCTTGTTCGTGTCCCTCACGATGAGAAAGGAGGCTGCATCTGCTGCTTTAGATCTTTCATTAAACAATATTAACAGACTAATATTCATAGATTATAACAAAGATGTTTGTCTCCGCTTATGTTAACTTTGTACCTTAAAACTCGTGCAGTTCTCTCAGTGAGTCAGTTTCAGGTGTTCATCATGAACATCTGCATTTCTTCATGGTGCTTTAACAACAACAAGGTGTCTCTGTTTGGATGAGCTAAACTTAATTATAGTTAGAAACGCACCGAGAGCAACCTGTACTGGGATAAATGTCATTTAATAAATGACCAAATGTGAAAATAAATAAGAAGAAATTACTACAAGAGCTGGAATCATGGAAATATAATTAATCATTTAATTAAATAATTATTTTAGGGGAGAAATCTGTCAGTCGGGCAGCACGGTGGCACAGTAGGTAGAGCTGCTGCCTCTCAGCAAGAAGGTCGCTGGTTCAAATCCCTGCTTTCTGGGTGCAGTTTGCATGTTCTCTCCGTGCATGCGTGGGTTTTCTCCAGGTCCTCCAGTTTCCTCCCACAGACCAAAAACATGCATGTTAGACTGATGGTAACTCTGAATTGTCTCTAGGTGTGAACGGTTGTTTGTCTCGTTTGTCTCCATGTGTCCCTGTGATGGACTGAGACCTGTCCAGGTGTTCCTGTGATGGACTGAGACCTATCCAGGTGTCCCTGTGATGGACTGGAGACCTATCCAGGTGTCCCTGTGATGGACTGAGACCTGTCCAGGTGTCCCTGTGATGGACTGAGACCTGTCCAGGGTGTCCCTGTGATGGACTGAGACCTGTCCAGGTGTCCCTGTGATGGACTGGAGACCTGTCCAGGGTGTCCCT